GCTCGGGGTACGGGACGTGGATAGCGTTTCGCGCCGAAGCGCGGTAGGCCAGAACCAGCAGAGCGACACGCTAAGCCAAAGTTCCTGACTGTGTAGCCCGAACTCCTTGTGCGCCACAGCGGGGGAACCAGCAGGAGAGGGGAGGGAGAAGGAAGAGCTACAGAGAAGCCAACAATCACTAAAATGATGCACCAGGCACGAGTGGCACATAGCAGTGCATTAAATCTGGGTGCGAAGCTCTCGCCATAATCAAGAAGCACAGCTGCCCCACCTGCTACAGGCGTTCCTCCCCTACCTCCCCTCCGTCTCGAAAACGTCGCCGCCGAGATCGACACTGCTGTAGTACTCGTTCACCCAGACAGAGATCTGGCAGGCCTCGCGAAGAGCGGAATGCCCTGAGCATGCACCAGGAGAACGTTCATACTATGGGCCCGCAGCGCCGTCCATCCCATGCGCAACATTTTAGACAAACGATTGATCAAGCAGCGAGGCATGCTTTTGCTGCTGAGGAGAGAATCCCTGGGCACCGCACCCTACACTATAGAATCGAAGTCTCGCAGATGGGGCTAGAGCAGCGCAGGAAATGGATCACCGCTCACATGAAACAGAGAAATACATCGCAACATGAAACCGAAACCGAAAACTATGCTTACACCTAGCTGTGCAGCACCGGGGTCCACCCAAAGCTTGAACGAGCGATCGCCACTAATAACGAAGGCATTGTAATTGCAGACGATGCTGGGAACGTGTTTCGGGATTGCAGATGGGCACGTAATGGAATCCCGCCAGCCCTCCGGGCGTAGGTGGTCTAGAGAGCTTTCTCTTTCAACCCTCTTCTTCCCCTTCGGGGAGGGGCTGATCATTGTCCTTATAAATATACACCCCCTCCCCCAGGCGACCGGGGGCAAACCGGGCACCATGCCGACACCATGCCGACCCACCCCCACCAGCCCTGTCAAAAAACAACACAAGCCGCATTCTGCCTCCACATTTGGAGCATGCGCGGCCAACCCGATGCGCCCCCCCACCCCGCCATCCCTGTCAAAAACCACGCAAAGTACACTTTGGGGCAAAGTCTTGAGTCATGTTCGCGGGGACCGCGAGCACTTTGTACTGCTTCTGACAAGGACGGCGGGGGTGTCAGCATATTCTCTGCTGCGCGCAGGGCGGCCATCCCTGACAAAAACACACACACACACACACACACACACACACACACACACACGCACACGCACACGCACACGCACACGCACACACACACGCACACGCACACACACACACACACACACACAATACAGCATGCACCTCGCGGCTAAATCTAAATCATGCGCGGCCATGACGCGATCACTGGGACGGCGGGCGGGTGGCGCGTGGCCTGCTGTGCACAGGCCCACCAGACACAATGACGGGCACTGGTTTTCGACAAGGATGGTGGGGGCCGACAAGTTTCCCGATGTGTGCTGTCACGTGCGAGGGCGCACCTGACGCACTCTGCACGTGCCCCGAACGCGGCACACCTGGCGCGGCTGAAATGTGCGGCACCCCCCTGGCGCACTCGGAGCACGCGGCGCATATGGCGCACCAGGCGTGCCTTGCACGCTCGGGCCCCACGGGTGCCTGGCGCGCGTGGCGCCCCTGGCACGCGTGGCGCACCTCGCCCAAACGTCGCGCACCTGAGGTCGGCTTTGCTTCCCAATAGCTGCCCATCCAAAGACGACCGCTGAACATGCTCAGGCTCGGGTGTTACTATGTGTAGAGAGGGCGGCTGGGAGCGAGCTAGACGGCTTGCGGGCGGGTGGGTAGCTTGACCCCTCTCCCTACCCACCCCCCACATGGACCTGGAGGGGGGAGGTCACGGGTCGTTGGACCGTCCAAGATGGCCCAAGATGGCGCTAGGAGGGCCCCAGAGAGCCCAACCCAAGACGACCTCCCAAATAGCCCAAGATAGCCCAAGATGGCTCCAGATGGCTCCCAAGATGCTCCAAGAGGCCCCCAGACCGCTCCAAGACGGCTCAGAGTGGCCACGGAGCCTCCCCAGGCCACCAAGAGGCAAGAATCCATCAAAAACTAAGGAAAATCAATGAGTTTGCCTTCTCGCCTTTTTGCTTCCGATGGCCTTCCGAGGCCTCAAAATGACCCCAAGAGGGCCCATGAGGGCCCAAAGAGAAGCCCAAGGGAGCCCCAAGGTGGCCCCAAGAGCGCTCCAAGAGCGTTCCAAGAGCGCCCCAAGAGGGGTCCAAGAGGCGATTTTCCGGGCTCCCAAGGGGGGGGCCGTAATTGGAGCTCTCCCATCTGTTTCGATCGATTTCCTCCAAGATAGCCCCAAGAGCGCTCACACGGCTCCCAAGAGCGCCTCAAGAGGACACCAAGAGGCGCCCAGGAGGCCCCAAGAGGCGCCCAAGAGGCCTCCAACAGGCTCCCAAGAGACCCCTAAGAGGTCCCGAAAGGCTCCCCGAGGCACCCAAGACGCTCCAAGAGGCCCCCCGGACCACCAAGAAGACCCCAAGACGCTCCAAGAGGCATCCACTGGGGGACTCTTCCTCTGTGTGCTGCCCACGTCCCTGATGGAGACAACTCTTCTGGGCATCGTTTACGGATGGGCTGGCAGGGTTACTTTTTTTTAGTCAGCGGCCCCGAGACAACGGTCAAGGAGCGGAGGCGACGTCCGGGCCACGGGCGAGGCTAATTTGCAAGACAATTCGCCGCCAGCCAGAGTTGGCGGACAGACAGCTCGCACCTGCACACGCACTGAACAAAATGACCAGAATTCGAGAGGCAGACTCACGGAGGCGCGGAAGCCCTAACCAGAGTGGGCAGGCCGCTGTGCCCGGTGAAAATGAATGCCCCGAAGTGAGTCGCCGATGCGGCGCCAGACGTCCGCGGCCGACCTGCACAAGCCGAGCGGCTGAGCGGTCGAGACCAGAAAACAGTGCGCGACAGCTGGTAGGGGCCGAAGGCTGCACAGGCGTTGTAGGCTGAACCACTCAGCGCCCAGTCCTCAGCGTTCCGCATCACAGTGTCGGGGGGGAGCCGAGCGACTGTGACCCAAAGAGCGACTGCACGGTGCCGCCTCATGAAGAGAGAAACTCCGCTGGCGTGGGGAGCATCGCCGACGAATGAAGAGAAAGGGTGGGGGGCGGCACGCGTGGTGGTGGCGTCGACTGCGCTGTCTGCCTGGGGGAGCCCGGTGCCGTGAAGCTGAGGCGGCCAGCCACACTCAGACCGTCGCATTGCGCTTCCCCTGGGCCCCAGCGCCAACACACACCACGTGCCCCGATGGCAGGGTTACGCGAAGCGTCTAGAATTCTGAAGTGTTTCGCATGCAACTCGATCTCCCAGGGAAGCGTGGGAACCGCGAACGCACTGGTGGCGTTAAGAGGAGAATGACAACACCAAACAATAATAACAAAATTACAATGCTAGTAAAGTGGAGGTTGCCTTGCCACGCAACTCAACATAACGCGACTACTGAAACAAAGTAGTGTCATAGTTGCGCCATTGTGGGCGAACTGTCACCATGCGCGCATCAAACACCACGATAAACGTCAAGTGCCCGAACATTTAGCGCGATGTCTGCATTCAAATCGAAACTACACATTGGGTCGGCGGTTGTCGACAAGGTCCCGCCATTAGGGTTACGGCCTCAGTCCCACCATCCTCTGAGCGCAGGTACTTATTCCCAATTCTGCCGCTTCCAAGATCAATCAGCATCAGACCGGGAAATCGGCTTGAATCGAAATGTGCGTCGGATCGGGCTGCGACGGCACGGAGTCGGAATCGAACCGGATCGGCCGCGCACGGATGCACGACAGCGCCATGGAAGCATCGGGCTGCATCGGATCGTCGGAGAATCGGAAACGAATCGGGTCGGGTCAGCCGAAGTCTACATCGAATCGGACCGATCGGATCGAAATTGCATCATCTTTTTTCCAGTATCTGCTTGAGGAACGGAGCCTGGCACAGGACAGCTCTGGCAGGCGGCAAAGGCCTGCGGCAAAAGAGAATTCTGGAGGCAACGGGCTGGCATTGGGAGCCAGAAAGACTATGGAGCAGGGATGAAACGGAACTGTGCGATGCAAACTCGTTCAACAACGTACATGCATCATCTTTTTTCCAGTATCTGCTTGAGGAACGGAGCCTGGCACAGGACAGCTTTGGCAGGCGGCAAAGGCCCATCTACAACAAGGCACAGTACCCATTAGCAAGCATTGCACTGGCTTAGCCGCGAATCAACATCCATTTTCGGGAGACCATCCTGGCGACAATTGTCTGCGAGAACATTCGAGCAAGCTGCCTGCAGATGGCGTCGGGATAGACGGCCTTCTGGTGCGTGCGGAAGTGAGGAGCACCGCCTTCCTTACCAGACAGCTCAAGATGAGGCTGGCCGGAAAACTCACACACACCACGGCCATGACATTTCATAGACAAGAGAGAAGGGGAGGGACGACAATGCAAGAATTGGAACTTAGCGCGGGCTCGAAAGGGCCGACCTGCCGCACATTGGTCAACAATAGCTTCGAAAAAGAAAGGCGAGTGATGGCGGCGAGTTCTGTCTGGAAAATGCCAAAGCCAACTGCTGCAGGGATTTTCTTCGCCGACAGGAATGTTGAACTTTGAAGCTAGCTGCCAGATCTGCCCTGCACGGGAGGCGAGCAGGTTGCCAAGCTCGAGTTTGGCCTGATCGGAAGCAGCTAAATTTGGCAAGCCAAAGATGTGAGAACCGTCACGAAGGCGCCGAGGCATGCGAGAAGTGGGGCCGCCTCGTCGCGCTTGAGAAAGCGATTCACAAGGCGTGCCCATGAAAATAGCCTTGACCTTGCCGCTGGCAATCCAGCCGCGAAGCACAGCCCATGGCGCAGGCTGGGCCAGATCAAACTCTTGCCCATGCAGAACATCTCATTCAATGACTGCATGCCCTGCCTGTCGCAGGTGTCGCGCAAGGTTGCCAGAGCCACTAAAGAGTTCAATGAAGATGCGAGAATCATGACCTTTGCTACTCATCACCGCTGAAGCGAGTACAGCTTGCAGGCGGCGTCGAGTCCAGAAGCCAACCGTTCGATCTCTTGGCGCTGGGGGGCGGGAATCTTCATCCACTCGATCGCCACTCGCCCGTGCTTGTCGTAGCGCCGCACGCTGTTGAAGGCGCGCCAGTTTCCTCGTTGCTGCACCTCCATTAGCGCGCGGCTGGCCGTCAGGCGGTCGTGGCTGGCGCCGCCGTGCCTGAGGCTGTAGAGCGTGCCTGCTAAACAGCTGGCTCCCACAGCCGCGAGCGCCTGGCCAAACCGCCGCTGGAGGAGGTTGTAGTCGAAGTCCCACAGCGGGTGCCAGGAGCCCAGGCGGGAGTCGCGCAGGCGCGCCAAGGCCCAAGCCAGGACCTGCTGGCGCGGGAGGTCGAGCACAACGGTATGGTCCATCTCGCCTGTCTTGCCTGGTTGCTGCAACTCTGCAGCATGCACCACTACCGACATGTGTGAGCCCGCGCTGGTGGCCGAGCCGAAAGGGCCGGTGAGCTGGGCGGCCCGCAGCGCCAGCGCCTCCGAGGGTCTCAGGTAGCCCTCGAACATCAGCATGACGCACAAGGCGGTCGCAAACTCGCCCTGGTGCCCAAGCCAAGCTGCCGCTGCGCGAACCACAAGCTCTGGAAGAGGCGGACGAGAGCCTGGCGGATGCAGGCGCTTCCAGCCCGCCAGCGAGTGCGCGAGCTGCGGGAAGCACCTCTGCAGGGGCGCCACGTGGAGCTGCGGGAGCCCCCACAGCACCGCGGCGCCAAGCCTTGCAGCCGTCGCCCGCGCCACTCCCTGGTCGAAGGCCCACAGCAGGAAGTCGGCCAGCGCTGCGTCCCAAGCGCCACAGGCCAGTCGGGCAGGGCGTCCACCATGAGCCAGCCTGCCAGCAGCCGCAACACCTTCAGGTAGAGCACCTGAGTGGACGGCCGCACCTTGTTGGCTGCCAGAAAGCCCTGGCGGGGCAGCAAGCGGGCCCGCTCCTGGGCGGAAGGCGGCGGCAGCTGCGCTCTGCTCCTTGCGGATTCGCCACCACCAACGGCTCGCTTCCGGGTCGGCGAAGCGCCTCCCACCTCTGGCAGACTTGGCTGGCCGAACGGCGGCGCTGCCTGGAGCGCGCGGACCTCCTGCATGGCCACAGCTGCCGTGACGCCTGAACTGGTCCCCCTGCTTGGGCCAAGACGGCTCCGGACCAGACTGGAACCGTCTTGACGGGCCATCCGCAGGGTTTAGCTCTGAGGGGATCCATCTGAACGTGACCTTGAGATTGCAGGCGACCGATATGGCGCAGGAACAACGGCAGCCGGACAAGAGACCAAAGTCGGATGCACGGCCCTTTTCATGGGCGCAAATCATCGACATGTTGTCGCCCAGGCCCAGCAAGCGATGCCCGTGACATCTCGAATTGCGAGAGGCGCGCCGCAGCCAGAGAAGCCCTGCTGAGCTCTCCAGCCGGTGGATAGTACTTTGACGCCTCCATCTGCATGCAACCGCTGTGATCCAGGTCGCCTCGCGCAGCAGCTCTGCGCTCACCTCGGCGAAACCCGCCGCGCGACCGAGCAGGAGTGCGGCGGGGTCAGAGAGCTCGATGCTGTCAGCGGCCAGGGCAGCGTCCCGCGGAGCCACCAATGAGGCGAGGGGCCCGCGAAAACGCAGCCTCTCCGGCTGCCTGCCTGCGGCCTGCACCTCACTCAAAGGCCAGCGCGCAGTACAGACTCCCGCGCCCCAAGGCGACGCGTCAAAGGCACCTACCTCAGCGTGCCAAGGCCTCTTCATGTCGGCGAACACCGTGGGCAACAACGCAAGCACCCACCTGAGCTCACGTCGGCAGCTGGGCCACAGCGGCTGCGCCCTGTCGTAGGTCGACCGGATGAAGACGTAGACGGCGCTGAGGAGGCTGAGAGCCTCACGCCGCAGCAGCAGCAGCGCGACCACGTGGCCCACAAGCCTCTCTAACTGGCGCCCAGTGATACGCCTTCCTGGCTCCAGCAAGTGTGAGATGCAGCCATGCACCCTCCAAAACTTCTTGGGTGCGGGGCGCCACCTGGCGGCCTTGGAATCCAGCGTGAAGCCGAGGAGGACGACGTCCAAGTCAAGCGACGCCCTGACGCCCTCGCTGGTGAACGAGCCCAGCATGTCATTGACAACCTGCAACGCTGTCTCGCGACTGGTGCTAATGGCCGCAAAGTTGTCGATGTACAAGACCTTGGCTGCAGCAGAGCTGTCCGAGAGGCACGTCCCAGGCTGCTTGTCCACCAACCACTGGTTGTTCGGAGAGATCGAAGCCAGCACGTTCAGGTGGGCAGACTGCACAAAGTGGACGGCCCAGTTCCACCCCATGGGAACAACACGCACACGGAAGGCTATCCTGGGCCGCGCCGCAAGCTCAGGCCCCAGAGCCTCGCGCAGGCGGGCAGGCAGCATGCGAGTCGCCAGGCTCGGCAGGCAGAAGTAATTCCTGGCCCATGTGGGCAGCACGTACTGGTAGAAGCACACCTCCACGTCCCCAGCCGCCAAGTGCACCTCCTCGCCGGGCGGGCACTCCAAGCTGCTGAGGGCGTCGCCGGAGGCCAAGTGCGTGTACTCGGGCGCCCTGAAGTGACAGTTCGCCCTCCTGGTGTCAAAGATAAGCCTCAGCTTGTCATCTTTGCGAGGCACAAAAAAGACGCCAGTCTCCTCCTTCCAATCCAGCTCATAGTCCAAAACTTCAACGATCCCTGCGTCGTAAAGCTCGAGCAGAAACCGTCCGTAGTCAAAGCCCCGTTGGGCCAGCTTGCCGTCGACGTAACACGTGACGTCAGCCTCCTCCAGAGCAGCAGAAGCCTCCTGCTCCGAGCGCAATAACCCGTGCCCGGACTCCAGCGCTGACTGCAGGTGCGGAGGAAGTAGTCGAACAAGATCGACACGCCCAGCACCGCCAGAAGGAAGGGATACCCTCCCGCGCTGGTAGCCGGCTCTCGCCCCGATGGCTGGCTCATCAGCATAGCCAGGTCGAAGCCCCAGAAGCGCCTGAAACGCCTCCTGGTTGGTGCAATCCTCAGTCTTCGGCGGGACCGCGGCGTAGACCTCACCCAGATGCTGCAACGCGGAGCGCTGCGCCAAGCTAAGCCGCCCGCCGCTGTCAGCCAACCGACCACCCACCCCCCCAGCTCGTTGAGCGCCGCGACGCCTTCCAGCATCCAGCGTTCCTGGCGCCTGCAGCGCGCGGCCTTGCGCCGCTGCCCCAGCGAGAGCTCGCCGTCGAGGGCCGAGAACCCCTTCAAGCACTGGAGCGCCTCGAAGCTGAGCGGGATGGGCAGCGCGTCCCTTTGCGTGAGACTGTCATCGCCAAAACCCAGCGAGGTGGCATCGTTCAGCACGCCTCGCCTCCCCTGCAAACTCGCGCCGAGGCCGGGGGCATCCCCGGCGCGAGGGGGCGCCTCAGACGCCACGGCCGCGCCCGCGGCCGCGTGCCTTAGCCTTGGCACCCGCCGATGGTTCGCCAGAGGCCGCGCCGCCGTCGACGCCGCGCTCCAGCAGCCTTTCCTCTCGCCCCTTCCTGCGCTCCTTGAGGATGGCACTTTCCTCTCGGAGCTTCTCCGCCACCCAGCTCTCCAAGGCGGGGCAGACAAGCGCTGAGCCGCGGCTCCTGTCCTGCCCGAGAAACGAGGATCGCTCATCGAGCCAGGGTGCAGCGTCCTGACCAGCCTCGGCTTCGCGCAAACTCGAGGCGTACAGCTCCTCCCAGAGCTGGTAGCGGCGGCAGAGGATCTCCACCACCACCAGCTCGCCAGCGTTGAGCTGGTCGTAGGTGGTGAGCTCCTGCAGCACCTCGGAGATGAAGTGGTGGTCGTCCACGCCCGAGTCGGAAGCTGTGAGCCCCTGGATCGACCTCCACCAGAAATGCCTCTGCAGCGGCGTGTAGCCCGCCTCCGAGATCTTCTCGAGCAGCCAGGCAGCGGTCCTCGGCCCCTTGATGCGCCAGTCTGGGAAGGGCGTGGTGGACATCTTGGCCACAGCGTCATGGAAGGACCTGGAGCGGCCACCAGCTGGTGAGTAGAGCACCGGCAGCGTGCGAAGGTCTCCCCCACTGCTGGAGAGCGCTGCCGTCCCTGCCTCCAGGGTGTCAGCCACTGCGACCGCCAGCGCGACGCCTGACGCCAGCACCACGACCCCGCGGTCGCCCAGCACGGCCTGCGGCTGGCCATCCGCGCCGAGGAGCTCCGGCGGGATAGGGGCCCCAGCCGTGAAGCCCCCGCGCGTCTCCGCCGAGAGCCAGACCGCATCTGCTGGCGGCGCTGCGGGCCGCGGCGGTGCTGGGGCGAGGAGAGCGCCGGCCGCGGGTGCCCTATGCGGCGCGGCCGGCGCCGCCGCCAGAGCGCCTGCCGCGGCCGCGCCCCCCACCGCTGGCCCAGCGGGCCTCGCGGCGGCCGCCAGCGCAGCAGGAGCCGGCGCCTCGGCAAGCGCCCCCGCCTCGCCGTCGGCAAGCACCCCGTGGGGCGCCGCTGGGGCCGGCAAGCCCTCATCCTCGCGGATGTCCAAGGCCATCTGCGCCGCCTCGTCGCACAGCTGCTGCAGCTCGGCGCTGAGGCGAGCGTTGTCCACCCGCAGGATATGCCCCTGTGGCCTCGGCACGGGGAGGCCGCCCCGTGGACCCAGCGGCAGCAGGCGGAGCGCCTGGGACATATCTTCATCATAGATGTCCCAGTCCGCGGTGAGCACCACGAAGCGGAAGTCCTGAATGTGCGCCAGCATGATCCTCTCATGCCAGTAGTCATCGCGCGGGTCGTAGTAGGCGAGGGCCCTCGACCCCACCTGCAGACTCTGCAGGCAGCGCAGCGTGCGTTCTGCTGGGGTGCGGGCCGCCATCCAATCCTAGTCTCGGCGCGCGTGCGGCCCTCTTCCACAAGAATCCAGCGGTCGCTGCCGAGAGCACACCTGCGAGCAGCCCCACAATGAAGGTGCCCAGCGCGGACGACGGCTCGGGGCACTGCAGCAACGGACAGCTCGGGCACGCAGGGCAGTTGAGCTGCTCTGGACCGCAGCGCTCCAGCTGGCGTCCCAGCAAGTTCACGATATCGCTGCTGACCTGGCAATCCGCGACGCAATGGCAGTCGGGACAGCGTGCAACTGAAAGGAGGGGGGCCCACGGAGCAACGGCCTGCAAGCTACGCAGGGCCAAGTCCATGAGCCAGAAAGACTATGGAGCAGGGATGAAACGGAACTGTGCGATGCAAACTCGTTCAACAACGTACAGGACCCTGGCTTCGGGGAGGGGGGCACTCCTCCCCCATAACCCCTCTCGTGGGTCTCGAAGGCGGGGGCGCGAGGGGTTAGAGGGTCCAAGGTGGCCCCAGATGGCTCCAAGATGGTCTCAGATACCCCTAGGTGGTCTCCAATCGGGCGGGTGGTAATGGGGGTAATCAAAATGGGGGGTGAAGAACCCACCCGCCCGATACAAGACGGCACGAGATGGCTCACGATGGCTCGCGATAGCGTTCAACATGCATCCAGGATGCCCCGATACCACACCAAGACGGCTGCGAGCGACCACGGAAGAAGCCTTCCCGGGAGACCCCCGAGAGGCCTACAAATCTCAACAACCTGACGTGGATCAATGCGATTTGGCTTCTCGCATGTTCGCTTTCGATCGGCCTCTGAATGGATTTGGCCTCTCGGTGGCATCATTGGACGGCCCCAAATCTTTTGAGATGGCCTCCAAGGTGGCGCAGGATGGCCCAAGTTGGCTCACCATGGCCTCCAGCACGCCTCTAAGTGACCACGAGATGGCCCAGAGACTGCTCCGAGTGGCCTCGGGGCTCCACACTGAAACCCAGAGACGCCACAAGGGCCCCAAGAGAGCCCCGCGAAGGCCGAAAAAAAAAAAACAAGACACCCCGACCGAGAGGGTTCCGACGAGGCCCCCGACGGCCCAAGCAGGGCCCAAGACAGCCCAGAGGCAGTCCTGGAAGGGCGCCTGGACAGGCCCACAAGGGCCCAAGGCAGCCCCAAGGCTGCCCCATGAAGGGCCTAAGTGTAGTCCCAACACAGCCTCGAGGCAGCCCCAAGGCAGCCCCAAGGCAGCCCGAGGGCATGCCCCAAGACCCGGCTCAGGCAGAGCGTGAGGACGCTCTGCGCGAGGCACAGCCGGAAGCAGGCCCCACAACGGGCAAATCTGGACGCCCGAAGTGGGTACGGAAAAAATGGGCGCGATACCCAACAACAAAAGTTGTCCAAAACCGACGGCAGCCGCTGCTGGGCAGGCGAACACCTGTCTCAAATCCCGCCAGCCTTCTCGGCGGAGGTGGTTTATCGATTTCCCTCTTCCAACCCCCCTTCTTCCCCTTCGGGGAGGGGTTGATCACTGCTACTCATCAATATACACCCCCTCCCCCACCCGACCAGCGACAAACCAGGGCCGATGAGGGCACCCCCCAACCCTACCTTCCGAAAAACAATGCAAAGTGCACTTTGCAAGCTCGGGGGGGCCACGAGCACTTTGTATCGGCTTTTGAAATGGGCGGCGGGGATGCCAGCAGATGGCCTGCTGTGCAGGACCACTACCACTGTTACAAAACAATACAAACTGCACTTCGCGGCTAAATCTGGACCATGCGCGGGCACCGCGCGATCACTTAGCATTGGTTTATAATCGGGACGGCGGGGGTACGCGCAGGCCAACCAGACATCATGACGGCCACTCCGCCGTGATTGCGTACTGGTTTTCGACAAGGATGGTGGGGGGCGACATGCTTCCCAATGTGCTCGGGCGCACCTGGCCCACTCTGCGAGTGCCCCGAACGTGGCGCACCTGGCGCGTCTAGAGCATGCGGAACACTTGGCGCACGTGGAGCACGTGGCGCATCTGGCGCACCAGGCGTGCGTGGCACGCTTGGGCCCCAGGGGCGTCTGGAGCGCGTGGTGCGCGTGGAGCGCCTGGCACCCGTGGAATATACTCCAAGAGGCTCCAAGACAGCTCCAAGGTGGGCCCAAAAAGGCATGTGGCCTCCCAAGGGAGGCCCCCAAGAGGCCAAAAACATCCAAACAACGATGGAAAAACAATGATGCGAGCCTCTCGCCCTTTCGCTTCCGATGGCCGTCCGAGACCTTAAGATGGCTCCAAGAGGGCCCCAGAGAGACATAAGAGGGCCCAAGGAGGCCCTAAGACGGCCCCAAGAGCGCCCAAGAGCGCCCGAAGAGTGCCCCAAGAGGACCCCAAGATGCGACTTGTGGGGCTCCAGACGGGCGATGCTACTTAAGGCTCCCCCCCTTCTTTGATGGATGTCCTCCAAGCTCCCAGGAGGGCCTCAAGAAAAACCCAAGGGCCCTCTAAGGGCTAAAAACATGGCTCCAAAACGGCCTCAAGAGCCTCCAAGAGCGCCCCAAGAGCCCCCTCAATAAGGCTCCAAGGGAGACGTGTCGAGCCAAAAAGAGGCAACCCGAATCCGCGCCGCCCCCTCTCCCTCCGTATGTTCCCCCCACCTCCTCCTCCTCCTCCTCCTCCTCCTCCTCCTCCTCCTCCTCCTCCTCCTCCTCCTCCTCCTCCTCCTCCTCCTCCTCCTCCCACCACCTAGGGTTCACCAGGAGTTGGGTGAGAACGTTATCGTGAGGGAGTTGAGGACAATCAAACTACTCTTTCTTGTGCTCACCCTCCTCCTCCTCCTCCTCCTCCTCCTCCTCCTCCTCCTCCTCCTCCTCATCTCCTCCTCCTCCTCCTCCTCCTTCGTCTGTTTTCCTCCTTCTCCTCCTCCTCCTCCTCCTCCTCCTCCTCCTCCTCATCCTCCTCCTCCTCCTCTTCCCCGTCCCGCCTCATCCTTGTCATCCGCCCGTCCTCCAGGTTCTTCTCAGGCTGATTGAACACTTCGATTTGACCGGCTTCTCCAGCCCTCTGTTCCACTGCGTGCCGCCCCACATTCCTGATCAAGGCAACTTGCCTGGGCATAGTTTTTGGATAGGCTGGCTGGTGGGGACAGGACGGGTCAAGAATAGATAACGTCCGCGGCGACACCGACAGCGAGTCCGTGTCAACACGGGCAGGAACTGCTGTCGGTCATCGTCACCAGTCTTTCCGTACGTACCCATTTCGATCCTGCAGAACGGCGTTCAGGACGCTCGAGGCGGGACGCGCTCCCAGCGGAGCCCGCTGAAGGCCAAGCCAAGCCAGAATGGTGCGCAGGCTAGTCAGACTGTGGACGCTCCGCGCGTCCCCGGGCTGGAAACGATCCCCGACCGAGCTGCCTCGACCAGGGAACTGCAGGAGCATGCAGTGGAGCCGAGAGGGGTGGCAGCCGCCGAGCCGAAGCTCCGGATCGGCCTGAGCAGATCCAGAAGCCAAGCCAACCATCCTACAGGCACTGGCGGGGCCTATTCGGACCATCTTGGGACGCCAAGCCTTTGAGGCTGTTGGGCCCCGCCGACGACAGCCGTGGGGGCACTCCTGTGGCCATCCTGAATGGCATCGGTCAACAAAACGAGGGGGGGCCTAAAGTACGCACCCCCCGCTCCGGGAGCCCGAAGCATCGCATCGTGGGGCCCTGTCGGGACGCCGTTGGGGTGCTCTTGGGGGCACTGGGGGGCCGCCATAGCTATAGAGCACGTTCGGGGGCCCCTCTTGGAACCCACTCGTTCATGAATCGCGGTGACGCCCGTGACTGGCCCTGCCTACCCACGGTGCTCGGTGAAAGCCTTACGCAAGGCAGCATAGGCGTCAGCCTCCAAGCTGTGCCCGACCGACCACCCCCCGTAAGGATGAGATGTAAGACTCTGTGGCGTGAGGCGTTTCTCCGCCTCCTCCTCCTCCTCCTCCTCCTCCTCCTACTCATCGTCATCATCATCATTATCATCCTCATCATCATCACCATCATCATCATCATCAGCATCATCATCACCACCATCATCATCGTCATCATCATTAGCAGCAGCAGCATCAGCATCAGCATCATCATCAGCAGCATCAGCATCAGCATCAGCAGCATCAGCATCAGCAGCATCAGCATCATCATCGGCATCATCATAATTACCATCATCAGCATCGTCATGACCACCATCAACGTCACCATCCTAATCATTTTCATTATCCTCCTAATGTTAGTTATCGTATTCCTCCTCCTCATCTCCTTTTCCCCCCCACGCGACCAAAACAATAAGACATACGTGCAAGCAAAGACAATAATAAAAACAGACATCCAACAAACAGCAAGAAAACCTTACGCTCAAAAACACTCAGAAATACATACAATCAAAAACAGGAAGGCACCACTACAATCAGAAAGGATGAGAAAGGTCTGGGGTCCACGAACCCTGTGAGGGTACAGGAAAATTGTGAGGGGCCCAAAAAATGCCAAAACACAAAAAACTGGTGCTGGTGACTTCGGGCTTCGTCAGGGCCCCTCCAGCCCAGATCCACCCAGGCAGCCTGAAGACCCCCATACAATCGACAACAATAAGAAGAAAACAGCTTGGGTCCACGAACCCTGTAAGGGAACACAACAAAAGCAACAAAAACAACAAACAGATGAGGGTACCAAAAATACCACAACGCAAGGGCTTTCCTGTCTTCGGACTTCCTCCGGGCCCCTTCAGCCGAGATCCGCCCAGGCAGCCTGAAGGCACGAAAGCTATTGATTGTTGGTTTTGTTGGTACCATCACAAGTATGTGTGTGTCGTGTTGGTTTGTTTGGGTGTTTTTGGTACCCTGACACGGCTCGTGGACCCAACACGTGATCGTATCGTGTTTGATTGTGATGGTGCCTTCAGGCTGCCTGGGCGGATCTAGGCGGAAGGGGACCTGAGGAAGTCCGAAGACACGAGAACCATTGATGCGTGGTATCTTCGGTACCCTCCCAAGTTTTCGGGGCATGTTTTGGGTGTGGGTTTTTTGTTGGTATCCTCATGGGGGTTGTGGATCCAAGACGTCTTCTGTTTGGTTTTGATTGTGTTGGTGCCTTCACACTGCCTGAGCAGAGCTGGGCTGGAGGGGTCCTGAGAAGTCCGAAAACACGAAAACCATTGATTGATGTACGCTCACAAGTTTGTTTTAGTTGTCTGGTTTATTTAAACTTCTTCGGTACCCTGAAAGGGTTCGTGGACCCAAGACGCTGTCTTATTGTGGTTGCTTGCATGGATTTCTTCTTGTTTCCTATGGTGCTGGTTTCTTATTATTTTGTTTGTCAAAATGTGTTATTATTG